TTTGCGGTCTAAATACCCATGTACGTTTGTAAGCCTTTACAGTGATGCAAGATTGCTGTTTATGATTTGGTTTATTTCAATTTTAAGGCAATCATTACTATAAATAATACAATTTTCTATTTAAAAATTATTTTATGTGCTATGAAAACATACTGTACTATAAAAAAACTGTAAGTTTAACAACTCAAAAGTTCCCCAGTCCAAAAAAATCATTTATTGAAACTAGGCTGCGAACAATGGCTTGTTCTGAAAAATTTTGATTTCTGATGACAGAAACCTAGAAAATTTCATGCAGTTACACATCAGTGATGCCTTTTTTTGGTGTCTCACCCAGTCACGGTGATGTAATAATGAAGATAGATGCTGTTAAAATTAAATTCAAATTACTTAAAGGAATGACTAATGATAACTGTAAAAAGGTGTAGTACCTACTGCTCTGCATATTCTTCTGAAAAATTCCAATGTTAGTAAAATATGACTTATGAGAGTTTATTTCTAGTTGCCTGATCATTTTAGTCCAACTTTAAAATCTTGTGCAGCCAATAAGGAGAATGTTTACAGACGTCTTAAAGGTACAGTAGCAAAAATAAATTTTTAATTAATCTTTTTTTTTTATTATTCTGAGAGCCAAATAAAGATTGTAGAAAATGGTTATAACTAAACCATTATTATGAAGTTGTTGGTGCAAAAAGCTTGACTAATATTTATAAGGGGACTTTAGAGAAAAAGTAAAATTATAAAAAATATGACCCCTTTAACATCAATTATACAATGACAATTGTCATTCAAGCAAAGCATCCAGGCTGATAAACAATAAACAGTTTGTGCGCCAATCTTTTCCGTCCATACAGCTGCTCATTGAGGAGAATGAATGCTTGAAACTGGAGCTCTCCAAAGCCAAGATGGCGCTAGCGGAAGCCCAGATGGAGAAAGACTCTCTCCAGCATCAAATAAAGTCTCTCAAACTCACCAGCGGAGGCAGCAACAGCTAGTAGCAGTGCATGAGTGTGTGCATACAGGACTGACACTTGCCACAGGGGAGCAGCAGAGTGCTTGGAGGGGCCCGGCGCCATAAAAAATCCCAACTCTGCAGCCAAGAAGAGGATGGTATGTGTGCCGTGATGGAGATCTCACCTCACTCGGGATCCAGGCTTTGCAAACAGTGGCATCTGCTCATAAAGAACAGTGTTCTTTGCTATAGTATACACACACAGCTTTAGCATCAGAAAAAAATCAAGTGAAAAGACTCTTTGGGACAGCCTGTGGAATTTCACAGACGTTTTGTTGCTCTCTTCCTGTTTTTATTATTTCTTTCACTTCATTTATTTGTGTCAGCGAGCACCACTTAAATTATCATGGGAAAGTGTAAAGGGGTGATAAACTCACATTCTTGCTCACATTCTCTCTCTCTCTCTCTCTCTCTAACCAATTCGTACGCTGTGTAGGAGCACATTCCACTCTTGACCTTTAACCCCAGGACAGTCTTACACCCTGAGTGTCAGGGTGTGTGATGTTGAATGTCATATCTTTGGAGGAATGTCTTAAAAAATTAATTTGCACTGTTCCGAACTCTTTTGTTTAACAATAACTACAAAATAATATTTAGTGATTAATAAATTTGTGATTATGTATAGTAATTGTGATACACAAGAATGCTTTGTTAATAAGTGCGATTGAATTGGTGTAGGCAAAATATTTACATCTTCATTATGTTAGCGTCTCAAAAACGGGAATATGTTTTCGGAATTATGTTCACGAACACACTAGGTTTGCATTAGATTTAGATTTGCATTGCACAACTTCATTTCTTTTACTCTATGGACAGATTTTGTGTTTTGCAGTGCAACACTTTGATATTAGTTCAGTATTTGCAACTAAACACATTGTCATTACATCTTTGTCTTTTTAGGTGAATGTTTGCATTGCAACAGTCAAAATAGGATATTTTTAAAAAAAAAATTTTTTTTCTAATAAAGCACCATTCAGTCTGAACATGGAATGTTTAACTGATGCTTTGTCACATTGTTGATCTGTTTACCAGCATTTCTGCACAAAAAAAAAAAAACGGTGAAAACCGCTCAACTGGTGTATGAAATCTAAGAGTTTATATTAGTTATTTTTTGTTTTTGGCTTTTCTTATTTATACTTTAAAAGAAAAGGGTAATATCATGGCAAAAATATTGAAATGTTTTCTTGGTTTTGCTTTGTTCTCTCTCCTGCCCTTGTTTTTCTCTACAGCGGCCTCTACAAGTGCCTGTGACTGCACACCTTTTCCAGAGGTTCTGCTTGATTTTTCTCTCACATTTTGTTCTCTAAATTAATGTTTTAATGCTCTTCACAAAACAAGCTTCCAACTGGAGAACACTTTTCAGATGTTAGGACTTGAACATGGAGAGCTGGAAGAAACACCTGATTGTAAGAAACAAGAACTTTTCTTATGTAGTACTAGGCCACACCCCTAGGCCCCAATATGTAATAGACACGCCCCTTATAGATGGAGACCCACCTCTTTAGCACAAATGACGAACAATGATGCTCCAATCAAGCAAAACTTGTGAAAGTGTTATTTCTTGTGTACATCAGAGGCTGCTGAAGTACTGAGACATCTGAAATAAAATGATGAATAAAATCTAAAATGTTAAATTATTTTTTTATTAATTAGTATTATTATTATTTTTTTAAATAAATGATGATCCATATGTATCAGATGCTGTTGGGCTGAAACAAATGCTCTCAATCACATGCTTACCTAGCCATAATGTTGGCATGAAATGGAAATTCTAGTTCTATGGAAAATCTATTTTAAATGCATTTTAATGCAGAGAAATATGGAGTGCCACAAGGATCTGTCCTAGGTCCTCTGCTATTTTCGATATACATGTTGCCCCAAGTTGCTTTGCAACGATTTGTATCGTGAAAAGCGCTATACAAATAAACTTGAATTGAATTATTGCCGTTATTGTGAAAAAAAAATCATACTTTTGAGTTTTATGTTTTTTTCTTTCTTCTGTTGAACATAAATGAAGATATATTTTTTTTAAATGTGGGTAACCAAACAGTTGATGGTCCCCACTGACTTCCATAGTATAGAAAAAAATACTATGGAAGTCAGTGGGGACCAGCAGCTGTTTGGTAGTGGAGTAACAGTAACTGATTTGCTGATAATTGACCATCCAAGCTGTAGATAAGTTTGTTTCTTCATCGGAACAGACTTGGAGAAATTAAACATTACATCACTTATTCAGTAATGAATCCTCTGCAGTGAATGGGTGCCATCAGAATGAGAGTCAAAACAGCTGATAAGAAACATCACAATAGTAATTCACAAGTAATCGACATGACTCCAGCCCATTAATTAATGTCTTGTGAAGTAAAAAGCTGCGTGTTTGTAAGAAACAAATCCATCAAGGCATTTTAACTTCTGGCCAAAATACAAGTCCATAATCCATAACAATGCTTCCTGTATCATGCTTTTACTTGCACAGTGTTTTGACATATTTTCTGCATCAACTTTTGACTTTTCGAGGGATGAATCACTTTTGCTAGGTGCTACTTAAAAGGTCACTTTTCCCCTGGGTTTCCAAAAAAAGGTCTCAGTCTGTGTAATCTCAGTTTGGTTTGGCTTCACCTCCATACAAACTCAATCTCATGTGGTACTCTCATGAATTGTAAAGTCAGGTCCCACTCAACAGCTCTGCAGGTCAGGTCTGCAACTGTGTGTGTGTTTGTGTTTGAGTGTGCTCCTACTCTATGCATTGCCTATTAAGGCAGATGAATACTGCTCTGTTTGCTGCTCTATGGACGAGTTTATTCCTGGAGTTAGTAACTAAATAGACACTGAACAACCGCTTGTTTTTGTGTGAGTAATGCAGAGAGCTTGCACACAACTGCCTCATAAGATCCGGTTGTTTCTGTTTCTTGGCAAAGCTGAAATCTAGTGACTCGTTCCAACACCCAGTGGGCCTGCAGCTGCCTCTCTCTTACACACACACACAGACACACACCAGATCATCTCATTTTCTTTCATTTCTTGTGTTGTTCCTCCAGTCTTTAGCACAGCATTTTTTTCCTCTCTTCAAGACTTCACAGCTGAACGGCACAGGAAGTAATGCTGTGGAGATGTTAGTGAAGTTGTAAACAAAACCTGAGAATATCTGCAATCTGTGTTCATTCAGTATTTCACAATTATAGCTAAAAAATGTCTCTTAGAAAAGAGTACAGTGGTGGTTCCATGTCAATTATGGAATGGGATTGTGATTTAATGACAGTTTCGTGTATACAATGATACTGAATGATTACCAAACTGAAATCTGGTTAATGTATACATGACACATAATCAGAATATGACCAGAATATTGTAGGAATATTCTTGTGCATGTAAATGCAGTCAGTAACTGTTTAAATGCACATCATGCTCCACAGATTTTACAATACATTCGGTTTGTGTGTGTGTGTTTTCAGAATTCTAGAAACTGAAATATTGGCTTAATCTGCTTTTGGCAATTACACGTTTACATGAAGCCCACATTCTCTCCATGCTCATATTCTGATTAATCATCTGATTAATAGTTGGAATGTTCTTGTCCCCAAAAATGAGTTTGCATCCTTGCAAAACAAACAAACAATAAATAAATAAATGACTGCTATGAATTACCATGACTTTTTTTTACCATGGTATTTTTACATTATTTTTTACATGCTATTTTTCCGTTAATATGGCAAACAATGAGTACCATAGTAGACTATTACAATCTCTCCACCACAGTAGGGTGTAAACGTTCCTTATAATATGACATATTTTCTCCTCGTGCGCCAATGAAATCAAAACAAGGTTACAGTAACAGTGTTCGGTTCGGTATTCCACGCCCAGCCGGAGCAGCTCTCTCCTCTCGTAACAGAAGACTGCCATATAGGAACCGAAAGACAGAAACACTGATGCTGGGCCGCCCTGCTGCCAGTACAACGGCGCGCGCACTCACACACACACATAGAGAGAGAGAGAGAGAGAAAGAGAGAAAGCGCGCGCGGAGAACAGCGTGTGTACAGTGACCGAGAGCGCACGGGCAGAGCGGCTGGTGAGTGTGATTTAACCCGCGTCTCTAGGCAACCGGCCCGTCTGAGGACCATCACCTCCCGTTCAGCACAGCTGCACCGGGACCGTGTTACAGTAAATATCCGGTGCATCATTCCATCATTGAGCTCTGGTATGGACTAGCGGCTTTATTCATACAGCAGCGCACGGCGGAGCGTCTGTTTGTCGGTAACATGCCGCAGAAATCCTAAAAGGAAACCTCGCCGTTCAGTCCGGATTGTTTTTGTTCTCGTGGATTAAATTTGTGTCCGGGATGGGGAAGGAGCAGGAGCTTCTGGAGGCGGCGCGAACCGGGAATGTGGGGCTGGTGGAGAAGCTGTTGAGTGGGAAGAAAGGATTGCTGGGCTCGGGCTCCGGCTCCATACCTCTGCCCGGGTTACTCAGGTATGAAAACAGACCGTAGCGGACAAGTTTATGTAGGCCTATGTGTGTCCGAAATAAAAGGGCTTTCCGGGAGTCCACCGGTTCCGTGCTGTTTATATCAATACAGACAGAGCGAATGCAGTTGCTTGAGCAATGCAATACATCACACACCCACTCTAGGCATCCCCGACCCACTGCGCCCCTCATACACGGTGCCAGCGTGTCGGGATATATAGGGGAGACCGCTGTGACACATTTGGTTTCAGCGTCTGTACCTCAGTGTTGTTTTGCGTTACATGTCTCAAACTTTTATATGAAATTCCCATATCTGTCTGAAACAAATTCAAGCAGTTTGGAAATCCACAACACATCCATAAAATGTGCTCATTAAAGTCAGTTACAAGGAGTGCTGTTGTTTGTCATCCTAATAGACTTCACTGCGAGTTTCAGAGGAGATCTCGATGTCTCAACTGTCTTGCCAAGACACCAAAAGTCTGAGATTATGGTATTAAAGGGATAGTCGACTCAAAAATGAAAATTCTGTCATTGTTCACTCATCCTCATTTCAGTCCAAACGTGTACAACTGAATTTCTTCTGTGGAACATAAAAGAAGATAGTTTGAGACATGTCTTAGTGTTTTTGTCTATACAATGAAAGTCAACCAACGCTGTTTCATTACCAGAATTTCCCAAAATATCTTCATTTGTGTTCCAAGAAGGTCATACAGGTTTGGAACAGCATGAGGGTGAGTAAATGTTGAATTGTTATTTTTGGGGTGAACTGTCTCATTAACTTGAGCATTTCTCATCAAATACTTCCAAGACCAAATTATCTGGGCTGTATAGTACTGTCCACATTCATTTCATAGCTCTGTACCAAAGGGGGAATGGGATGGGATTGTGACGAGGGGGGCCCACCATGGTCCTCTCTGATATAGCTTACTCATTTGGCCTGGTGGAGGGTGGTGGAGCCCATCCATAAAAATGTTGTCCCAGGCCCCAGTGAAATGTAATGGCAGCCCTGCTTTTACTGTACCAAGGACTGCCTCATTTTTATGTCTCCTGAGGCACTTTATAAGAAACATCTGAGACTAAATTGATACTTAAAGGGCATTCTCCCAAAAATTCAACCTTCATGTCATTCCAAATATGACTTTTATTATTCTGTGCAACACAAAATAAGATATTTTGTAAAATAGCTGTGTTTTTGTCCATGCAATTAAAGTCAATTTGGTTCAATATCCATTTTTGGACCCCAGTTGATTTTAATTATATGGGCAAAAGTCGTCTTCTTCCTCTTCTTTTTTTTAATTAACCTTTTTTTATTGCAGAACATAAACAAAGAAAAGCAGTTTTAAATCACACCATTAAAGCATTAAAATCTTGTATTTTTGTTTTTGTGAATAAGTCAGATGGATGAAATTAGAGAGCAAAAAAATGGCATGCAATTGAATGCAGTTCACATGACATTCAAGAGATAAATGATAAGGGTTTTCATAATAAAATATAATATCTTTGATAACAAAGGAGTGGTTTAATTCTGTAGCGCTAAAAATAAAAGAACTTAAAGAACCCAATTTTATTCATTCATTCATTCATTAATTCATTCATTCATTCACATTTTTGAAATATATCGGGCAATTTCTTTAGCTATAACAGCTAAAAAACTCTGAGCAGTAAAAGTTTCCTTTGGAATTAATTCTAATTAATTGGTTAATGAGGCCTCATAAAAGGAGAAAATCCTTCTCTCAAAACAAACTTTAACACTCTATACTGTTAGTAATGCAGAGTGATTTCTCCTGTACCTAGTGCGTTGCGTGTTGCTCTGTTCGCCCTGTGTGATTGATGTGTGATGTTTGATCAGCTGTGCATGCATGTGTTTTCGGTTCTCAGGTATATGATCTCGGGAACACGTTCATCTCCACATCAGTATGTATAATGACAACTGTGTGGAGCAGATAGAAGGAAATGTATGCTTCGGGAATGGCCAGGCAGAGATGGGGGGAAGGGCACCTGGGAACGACATGCCTGCTCGCGTCTTTGAGAGCGAGAGAGGCTGATCGAGCCCGGCTCAGACATCGGCCACCTCACTGGTTAAAACAGCGAGTACAATCAATGCTGCTCGTTTGCTGTCTGGACAAAAGATCCCTCTGCCTGGTAATAGGGCATTTTCCCAGCGGGAACGGCTGACATTATCTCACCGCTCCTCTAATTTAGGGCTCAGAAGGCATTGTTCTGTTGTTTTGTGGTTGATCCTTGAGGTTTGTTTGGTTGGAAAGTGGGAAGTATGTTGTGTTTGTGTTTCTCTCTTATTGGGTCAGAACTGTTGGCTGGAGGAATGGGACAGTGCAGTATGGTGGGGGGTCTGGGTCTGTCCATCTGTCCACGGTGCTGGAAGTTGTGCTTTTTTCTCTCTGTGAGCTCTGCAGTGTCACAGTTAGTGACGGTGCATCGCCCAGAGAGGATTCACATGGCCTTATCTGAAAATGAGGGTGGATCTATGACAGGCCAAAGGGTCACTTGAAGAATTTAAGAGATTTTAGTGATTATGTTCAGAATGGGATACTAGCTTGCACTATATTTTTTAAAAATATGACATGACTTCATTAAATCATAATCAGAATGGTGTCCAGTTATCTATTTGGAAATTAAAAACTGAAAAATATCTATCTATCTATCTATCTATCTATCTATCTATTAAATAAAACAAACACAAAATAAAGAATTTCAATATCTTAATATTTTAATTATTTAATATGATGGTGATTATACTATCATATACTATCAATTATACTAATTATACTAATAATTATATATTATTGGCCATTTTAATATCTGCATATCTGCAGTTATTATCTATGTTAATTAAATTTTGTGTCAAAATGTCTTCTACATCACTGCTGTAATGACTTCTATTTCATTGTTGAGCGCATTGCATTGTGGGATATAATATTCTGTGCAGTGTGATATGTTGTAAACTTGAAAGTTCAAGTTACAGTCTATCAGTAAAATATTGTTTAATGGCCGATATTAGAGATTTATAGGTATCGATAAATTAATGATGATTGGATATTTAATAATAATTATATATTATTGGCCATTTTAATATCTGCATATCTGCAGTTATTATCTATGTTAATTCAATTTTGTGTCAAAATGTCTTCTACATCACTGCTGTAATGACTTCTATTTCATTGTTGAGCGCATTGCATTGTGGGATACAGTATTCTGTGCAGTGTGATATGTTGTAAACTTGAAAGTTCAAGTTACAGTCTATCAGTAAAATATCGTTTAATGGCCGATATTAGAGATTTATAGGTATCGATAAATTAATGATGATTGGATATTTAATTGTGTATGTGTATGATTGTGTTTTAAGTGTGTTAATTGTGTATGCTGTGTTTTTGTCCATGCAATTAAAGTCAGTTTGGTTCAATATCCATTTTTGGACCCCAGTTGATTTTTATTATATGGGCAAAAGTCTTCTTCTTCCTCTTCTTTTTTTAAATTAACCTTTTTTTTATTGCAGAACATAAACAAAGAAAAGCGGTTTTAATATGAAATCACACCGTTAAAGCATTAAAATCTTGTATTTTTGTTTTTGTGAATAAGTCAGATGGATGAAATTAAAAAGAGTAGGCCTAAAAAAATTGCATACAATAGAATGAAGTTCGCATGACATTCAAGAGATAAATGATAAGGGTTTTCATAATAAAAAATTATATATTTGAGTACAAAGATAAAGAACATTTTAATTCAGTTTTGTCTAAAAAATTGTGTTTGGTTTTGGCAGATGCCAAAAATCACTGATGTATCTCTTCAGTTTAATTGCACATTGTTGAGTGCATTGCATGTTGGGATACAGTATTCCGTGCAGTGTGTTCCGTTGTATTCTCCACGTTTTGGCAAATGTAGTAGTAGGTCGTTTTAATATTCTATCCTACTGTCAAAGACCCTTTAAGGCAAGTGAGTTTGGAAATGCCCCGGGCTGCTATTTTCTATGTAGGTAAAAGGCATACAAATAAAGCATGTTCCAATGACACAGGCTTGTGGCTTTGACCTCTGACTCACATACACTGTTGCACGTGGGACGGGCCCCACTGCTGTATGATCAATGTTTTGTGCCTTCATAGTGCTAATGGATTAGCCCATCAATAATGACACAGTGTGAATGTTGCATTAGGCATCACTGCACTTAGAAACACATGATTTTAAATGCTACTACATTCATACGCTCAGTGCTTAATATGATAATGATTAACTATTGCACAGTGGTTATTTGTCTCTCTTAAAGTGCCTGAGTCATGAATTTGGACGGAGTTGTGAGACATTAGCTGGATATATTTTTTAGGTCAAAATGTTATTTTTTCCCATTCTCTTATTTTCTTACTAATAGCATACATATATAAAGCAATACTTACTGGCATTGATTGAGCATTATGGATATTGTGACGATGGTGGTTATGGTAAACAAGATGGGATGATCTCTCTCCTTGGCTACCAGTCACTTTGCTGATTGCCTTGCTCTCTAATTTGATTGGTCACTGAGCATGTCAGTCATTCTTTGCAGACACACTGCTGATTGTTAGTTTAACTTATGTTGGCTTTTAAGATACCTTATTTGATTCTAAGGCAGCACTGCATGTACTCTACACAGATAGGGCAATTCCAGAATGCACTTTAACAAGCTCAGTGAAAAAATAAATACAAGATGACATATAAGGTGAGAAAATATTGACTAAGAATTCTTATATTTTCTTCAATACTGAAAAGTACTATAAAAAGTCAATTGTGATCATAAACATGTTATTTTATCAATATTTGTATGTATGCTTAATAGAGTATTGCGCTGTTAGCTTAGCAATGTGCTAACACGCTAATGCTAAATTATCCCAAGTAAAGCCATTTCCTCATGTAGTTGCTATCTATGTAGAGCAGTGGTTCTCAACCTTTTTACTTGATCGAGGGCCTTCCATGTAGGCAGCAAGGCAGCTAACTAAGTTTGGAACACAGTTAAAGTT